CATTTCAAGCATAATACTATAAATTGGTTGAAGGTAAAAGAACGGGAAAAGATCAACCACGCAAACACTAATCAAACAGTGCTATAATGTTTTGGTCATGACCACTGAGTGTGAAGCAAGCCACCTGCACTAAGATCCCAGCTCCAACACTCACTGGCTGTGAGTGACCACAGGCAAATTGCTTAAGTGTAGTGTGCCTCAGTTTCCTCACCTTTGAAGTACAAATGATGTGTACTGTGTACAAACGGTAATACTACTTCTTTGTAGTAGTATTAAGCCATTGAAATTGTTCACAAATATTCCAATTCTACTTCTGGACACACACAGATGGGAATATATTTTTCTACCATCTTAAAGGATAGGAGTGTGCATGAGACTTGCTTTATGAGTGATGGTAAGTAGAAGCTTTGAGGATCAGTGTATGGTTTGCCTCATACACATTCATCGTTAGGCCATGGAGATTGTTATTGCAGCATAAAATAACCTATTTTGATTGTACATTAATTTATAGGGTTGTTGTGAGGATTACGTATGTTCATGCATGTAAGATGTAGGGTATTCGTAATAAAGTCTGAAAAATAGAAAGTGCTAGCTAAGAGAAAGCCACTATTATATTTCCGTGTTAGAGATAAAAGCGAGACTTGTAGAAGTTAAATAAACACAATCAGGATTTGGACTCAAAGCACATCCTCTTAACTTCTGCTTGATACTATCTCAGTAAGAGTTTGCTGTTAAAGCTTTGGTAACTCAAAGGTAATTCTAATTTCCCTCCATCCAGGGAAGGGAAGGATGGATAAATCCTAGAAGAGAGCCAGGCTGGCCCTGCTGGTTCTCAAAGACTTCGTGGAGGCAACTCACCTGTTCAGCAAAACTACTGATTATGACCAAGTGAGAGTAATTCTCCTGGCAGAACTTCCGTGCTTCATCCCATGACTTGGTGTTTGGGGAGAAGTAGTAACACTTGCCTTCAAAGGGGACCCAGCCTTCAGGACAGGTGACTCTGCGACAGTCTGGGAACAGGATAGGATGCTGTTACAGTGGACCAAGAGCCAGAGCCGTGACATAGTACGCCACGCACAGTTGTGCAGGCTACGCACCGCTCCACTCCAAGAGGCATCATTCACATAGACTGCACTGAGAACCATTTCCATGCAGGTCCCAGCTCTGCCATGTGCCACATCTCTGGGCAGTTATGCAAGTCCCACTCACCTAGTAGGCCCCGAAGTTCCACCAGGGACTGGTTGGTGTCAGCTCTGACATGATCAATGTCCTTCTTCAGACCAGCTAGCCCCGCGATGCCAGTCACTGTCAGAAGGGATGGGCTCAAAGGTTAGAGACTCAGTACCCCAACTGCACACCCACACCGACTGCAGACACAGCAGAGAGAAGCAAGAGTCATGCTCCCCACCACATTCAAGTTCTAGCGGGTCGTGCTGAAACTCAAACACCACGTGCTCAATGTCCGGGAGTCCTAGATTGGCTCAGAGAAGGCTCAGCCCTTGGAACTTTGGGAAGAGTGGGCATGGTGGGGATCCGGGAGGAGGTGGGTTTTGAAGGAAGAGGGTGGTGATTCAGTAACTGGCGGGGGGAGGAGAGGCGCAGGAGGCAGGGGCTGTCTTAAAAGCAAAGACGCAGAGGCGAGTAGGTTGGGGAAGGCAGGTGCAGTAGGGGTGGAAGGGAACCTCAGAGAAGCTGGAGCGCAAAGTAGGATGAGGCCCGACGTCCGGGTCCTTGAATGCCACGCTAAAGGTTTCGCACTGGGCTCCGGGCATTGAGACGCCATTAATGGGTTTTGAGCAGATGGCTTCACATGTGTAAGTGCGCCACACCAAAGATACGCACGATGCGTGGAGGTGTGTACATACGTAAAGGACTTCAAAATAACACATCTGGGTGCCCTTTCTCTGTGGCCAACTAACATACATGTTCAACAAAAACGTGGAAATAGATCAAGAAAAAAAGACACGAAATAAAGGAAATAGAAGAATCAATAAAAGAAAATATTGAAGGGAATTCCTAAAACGAAGGCCAAAAGAATAAACAAAGACGTCGTGCTGCACCTGCCTTAAAACTCAGTGAGCAGAGTGCAGACTAGAAGAATAAAAATAT